TGGAATAATAGAACACAATATATCACTCTCAAAAACAACTAAAAGCAAAAGTACTATATTACCTGAGAGACTCTCTATATAGCTCCCTATGGATTTTTGGTATAGCATTTGAACAGGCAGAAATAGCAAGAGCTGAAATGCGAAAACACTTGCTCGTTTGTATCGATAACCTTCGTAAACTTGCGTTTTGAAAGCCAAAAATTAGCTTAGCATGGATTTGTTGTTGAAGATTTCAATCAGAATTGGAACTGGATTGAACCTCATCAAAGGAAGAATATTGGAACGAGATTGCGGAATATTACATTAAAGTGCGAACTCACGTTTCAGTGTTAGCTATTATTGAGTGATTGCATTATAAAGTTGGCTTCCACTGCTTCCAAAAGCAATTAGCCGCAATGCCCCAATTCATTCATCGTTTGTAGAATAGCCTATATTTCATTATGTATAGTTTTGGCCAAAAACATTTAGCATGGTTTGTCTGGCGCAGAAAATTACTTTTGTTGTTTGGAAAGTTACTAGTTTCTCGCGTCTCTTCACTCTCAAACTCAAAACCTCAAATATGAAGGAAAGCGCTCTCGAAGAGCGTCAACGGAGACTTGAACTGAGTCAAAGTGTTCGAAGGCCAAATTTTTGTAAGTCGCCCCAGGAGCTTAAAAAGCAGAAAAGTGAAATCAAAGATGTCAAGTCTAATGTGACAACTCCGTTGGTAGCAACTGCAGCTTTGCAAGCGTATCTCGCAAATGATAACGATGCAAAATCGGTTGACAATCAGGTATTAAGAATGAATATCTTACCAAATGAAATGACGTTGGACAAAGCAAGCCTTATGAGCGAAAAGCGGCAAGTAAGTACCATTCCACCTAATTTACATGGTTGTCGGTGTGTCAATGACGAAAAAAATTCTGGTACAACATCTGATGTTGCTACTCGACTAGCTGAAAGCCCATTGTCACGCTTTCGGAAGCATGTACGAATTAATGATTTCTTCGATTGCATTTTCAATGGCTGACTTAGATAGCTGATTCAGATAACCCTGTCCCATATGCTCCCCAACCAATTTAGTGATGAGAAATCCTTATCTCGAAGTGATACCCAAAATGTACAAAGAATTGGATCATCACTAAACTTGGCTCAATGTCTTATGCATAAAATCAACGAAGCGAAAAGTTTGCGACTGACAGGGGTAACGAGTGATGTTCATATCAGCAAACACAACAATTCGGAAATTGTAAGCATCGGTTCTCAAAGTTCAATCGTTTCAGGTTCCAACAGGATTCAATCAGTCAAAGAAGCCATGCCATCTTTGCCTATCACTTCCGACTTGAATAAATGTCCGAATTTACCTTCGACAGGAGCAGGTTTGATTGCTACTCCACCTGTTCCACATTCAAAGCCAGTCATGCCCGCCATTCCACATTTATTATCTGCATCGACGCCAGAGAAAACAGACAAAAGTGAAAGTCCTTTCGATGCAGCTACGAGAAATAAAGCACCACAAACGAATACAATAAGTTGTACCAGTACAAGTGAGACGAATGGTGCTGCATTTAATCAGCAGATATTGCGGAAAACCCAAAGTTCTAAAGACGACGAATACAACCCAAAGTGTGAGAGGCACAACCATAACAGTCAGATGTTTGCCATTGAGAAACAAAATGCTGATGTTGTGTTTTCTGTAGCAAATGCGAATTCCATTTCGCAGCGTAAAATAGAAATGAAAACATCGCACGAAATCAATTCAAAGTGCAGCTTGGAGAATAATAGTGAAGCTGATGTTCAAAATTCTTGTACAGAATCTTTCGAGTCAAGTCACATTACTCACTGTCCTTGGATTGATCATGAACTGATTTTTCTTGAAGAAGGTCGAGGGATGGGTGGTCATGATAATTTATTACAAATGGAATACAGTGTGAATCAGGATGAGGTGGTATGGAAGCGTCACCAGCATGTTATACAACAAGTAGAGCACAAACGGATCTTGAAGCTGCGAAAAATACGACAGATTGGCTTTAAAACTCAAAATCAATTGACCCTCAGAGTTGATTGCAACAAGACTCCAGATTTAATCGAGAATAGTATCTTGGAAGGGGCCAAAGTGAGCACAACACCAGCCTTTGAGAAAGCAGGAGCTAAATCAGCCAATTTAGAGCTTACAAACCGAGGGATGCTTTTTCGAAAACGGAAACTGTCTCGTGTCCACTTTTCTAATCGCAATTGTAGTCGCCGTGAATCGAAATTTCGTTGTACAAAAAGATTTCTTATAAATTGCAAGAAGTACATTCACTCGCAAAATACTGCACGACCACGTCGTGATAAAACACGCATCAAGCAAAGCAAGAAAACCGAAGCAAAACATACTCAATTTCAAGATAATAACAAACCAAAAACGGAGCAATGCGACCAAACGAAAATAGCTGAGATTGAACGAATGAATCGAAACGTGAAGCAAATCTTGAATGCTGATGTTACTTCAAAGCCAGACACTCCTAGCCAATTCATTGTTTTCTCAGAAAATACTCTACCATCGAATGGATCAAATTCAAAGCTTTCACGAAATGACTTGATCACCATGGGCGATCTAGCGTTGGCCAGAAATTTGCTTTGTAATGTTAATCCGTGTCATACAACGAACGATTCGTTTGAGGTCAAATACCAAAACGAATTTATTCCCATGACATTATCAGTACATAAGGTGATCATTCAGCAACCAGAAGGTAGGAAAGATGAAAAAAATAGGGATGAAGGTATAAACGACAGATCCGACGGTGGAAATGTAGCTTTTCAAGAAAATAAAACTTGTTCTGAAGTCACAGTCAGTTCTCGAAGCTCCGTAGCTGTGTCGAAACCTGGAAAATCAGGGCGAATC